GAGGAGCCCTGCAGGGTGGCCTGTTCCCACCCGCTGCCCCTGAAGGATGGGGGGTGCTGCCCCAGCTGCTCAGGTGAGACCCACCCCCCATATCTCAGTGGATCAGGCCCATGGGATCACTGGAGCCTGGAGGGTTCAGTCCCTGCTGGTTCCTGCCCCCTGTGGGGGTTCTTTTCCTGCCTGGGTGGTGCCCAGCCGGTGAGCTGCATAGCTGCTCCTTGGGGATGGGTGTGGATGCCCTTGGCCCCTGAGGCATGGTGGGACGGTCATGACGTCTCCTCTGGGGCTCACCGTGGAGTAGCCTGACGCTGCCCTTGCTTTGCCGTGTCCCGCAGGCTGTTGGCACGAGGGGGTCGCCCGGGCGGAGGGGGACGTGTTCTCTGTGGCCGACGGGAATTGCACAGTCTGCATGTGCCTGGTGAGCCTTGCGCCGAGTGGGGGGCTGGGCGCTCTGGGGAATGGTGTGAGCGAGACTGGGCTGGAGGGATTCCCCAAGGGGCTCGCCTAAACTCCCGTGACATCAGCACGCCGGGTGGCAGGGGCCCAGTGAGGTCATCGGTCAGGTGACTGATTGGAGGCGGTGGCCATGGTGACGTGGCCCTCAGCAGGGGATTCAGAGACAGGAACATGGCCCCTCAGTGGGTCGGGGGCAATGAGGTGATGCCCCTTGGCAGGGGAATCAGCCACGGCAACGTGGCCCCCTGTGGGGCGGGTTGGACGTGGGTTTGAATGAGCACCGAGAGGAGGGGAGAGCTGCCCAGTGCCAGGTGTGGCCCAGGGCCCTGGTCTGTCCCTGGCATTCCCTTGGGTTTCTCTCTTCCAGGCTGGCAACATCTCCTGCATCTCCCCTGAGTGCCCTCCGGGCCTCTGCCTCAGCCCTGCCCAGGCCGACTGCTGCTCCTGCCAGCCAGGTGGGTCCCTCAGCAGCTGCATTACCCCCTCACCCCTCAACTCCCCAGTTCTGGAGGCTCCATGGAGCTCTCCGGGCCAAAGAGGACCCCCCTCTGCTGTGCCAATGGGCCCTCCGTTTAGATCAGGGAGGAGGGGGATTTAGGTGGGTGGAGCCCAGCGACTGCCTCGCTGATGGGGTAGCAATAGCTACACAGAGTGTGTGGCCAGTGCTGGGCTGTATGGCCTAGTGGCCAGAGCATGGGATGACAAGTCCGGATTCCTGTATTTTCTGCCCAGCTGGAGAAAGGTAAGCAAGTTGCTGAAGTTCATCATGCCTCAGTTTCCCTCCCTAGAAGTGAGGAGTGCAAGCCCTGGAAGGGCATGGGCTGGGGGTTGGTGTGAGGCACTTGGGGACCTGCACCCAGGGGGGCACGTGTTATTCTGGGCCTGTTTGAAAAGCCAGGGTCCCACTGTGTGATGGTTCTGGCTGGCCGTGTTTCCTGCCACGTTGCTACCAACCACCCCTTTCCTCCCCCCCTTGCAGCAACGTGCGATTTCCACGGGCGCACGTATGTGCACGGAGCCGAGTTCAGCTTGGACGGTGACAACTGTACCACCTGCGTCTGCAGGGTAGGCCTCAGTCCCCACCCTGCCCGGCTCTCCAGCGCAACACAATGGGGGGAGACGGGCCTTGCCTCTAGGGTTCAGTGCCTGCTCACAGGTCGCAGTGGGATGGGCCAAGCCGCACCAGAACTGGGTGCCAGGGAAAGGCACGGCCTGTGGAGGTGCACCGGGCGCAGTGTCACTAGGTTGGGGGAGCACAGAGCAGGCCAGGAGCGTGGGGGGCTGGCAAGAGGAGAGCTCCACGGAGCCGTGGGGGGATGTGGAAAGGGAGAGGGGGCTCAGTCCAGGCTGGAGTCCTCTGTGGGGCAGGGAGGATGAGGAGGGGGAGGAAGGAGACATGAGACGCTGCCCTGCCCCCGTCGTCTGCTGGCTCATGTGTGATGTGTGTCTTCCCCAGGGTGGTGAGGTGGAGTGCTCCTTTGTTCCCTGCCCCGAGCTGGCCTGTCCCCGCCAGGACTGGCTGCTGGCCCCCGGCCACTGCTGCTTCTCCTGCCGGGAGCCTGCACCAGTGTCAGGTGAGAGGCCACACATAGGGGTTGGGGGGGGTCTGCACGTAGATGTGTGAGGGGCAGGGGGAGGGG